CCCCGATGCCCTCCGCGGGCTGTTTGAGAGCCACACTGCTGGGGAAGGAGGGGAACATGCAGGATCAAAGACTTTGACTGGCTTAGTGGAGCTGCAGCGGACAACAGAGGTTGTAGGAGTAAAAAAAAAAAGAGGCGAGAAACAGATTGAAAACCCTGACCCCAGAAAAGATAATGAACTAAGATAATTAAAGAAAAAAAAAGAAGCAGACAAGGCCGGAGTCTCTTATTATCTACTACAGCTATCTGGGAGTGTGTGAAAGAAAGGTAAATAACTGGATTCCTACATGTGCGTTTCCATGGTTACACCCCCCTCATAGACGAAGAGTGTCCTCAGTCTCCATTACTGAAATATTTCATGGCTCATTACCCATCAGCCCCCAGGGCAACACAGGGCGGGGCTTAGAGAAAAGGAAAGCGCCACCTCGGTAATAAACTCCATCAATCAGTCGCACAGCGTCGCTGCCGGGGGCCATGTTTGGCTTTCTAGTGTGTGTGTTTGTTTTGGATGCATGAACATCACATAGATCAAAAATATGTAGTAATTTTATAGCACTTTTTTATAATCAATTCATCTATAATGTATTTACTCTAGTCGTTTTAATATTTGTTCTATAAAATAAAAAGAAACATTACTGAAGCCGACCGATGTTAATGTCATCAAAGTGCTTTACCAACAGACCAAAACCAAAACATGTTCACTTTATTATTACATGAGACCATTTATTAACAACTCCAACTAAGGAATTTTGGAAGATGTGAGCTTGGAACAATGACTCATGGAACTATGATAGCAGTAGATATTGTTCCCAGTCATTTATTGATCTAGTTATGGTCAAAAACCTTTATGTTGATAAAGGTCATAATTGTTTTTTACAATGTCTTGTTAATCACGATAAGACCTAATATTCAATCTAATCTTGCAAAACAAATGAACCCAGATAAAGAGCTGACACTCATTTATCAAAGGGGGGCTGAGGCAGGGGGTCAAACTGTCCCTCCAGGCAGAGAGAGCAGGACACACACCCCACACAAAGAGGTTCATTCGTCTTGAATGTCTACGGTAACGCTCCGGTGGTCAGTCACACACACACACACACACACACACACACACACACACACACACACACACACACACACACACACACA